CCCCCGGCCATTCTGCCCTGCGTGAGCTGTGCCTCAAGGCATGACAAAAAACCACTTCCATTCCAAAAAACCACTTCCATTCCAGATAGAGCATCTGACACGCACGGAAGCAAGGAGCTCCCGCCTGGTAGAAACAGCCACAAGCAATTATGCTTTAAACTTTCTGAGAAGCATTTTGGTATTTAAAAAACTCTTGTAAATGCTAAGACTGTTTGTAAGAAAAGAAATCTTAAAAATCTAGATTTATACAGTTTTTTTTAAAGTCCCACTCCTCAATATTTAATAAAAGAAAAAGAGAACTCCTTAATCTAAAGGCTAATTTATTTTTGAATGGTTACTAGTGAGACCTCTGACACTGGATAATAATGATCTCACTGCCAGACAGGATTGGCTTATGGGGCAAAAAAAAAAAAAAAAAGAGAAGGGATGAATGTAAAAAGGTTTGATTTAATGGCAGTGATCTGTCTGTGGCTGTTAGGTACCTAGCCGATGAGCACAATATAAAAAAAAGACATCTGAAAACATTTAACATGTGCATTTTTGGGTACACTTTTTGCTTTTTAAAAGAGATGTGAATGTGAAGGCCTTTATTTGATATTTCCACTGGTAACTGTTTGCCCAAAGGTAACCCAGGGTAAGTTACGTCCTAATAACAAGCCCACGGGTAATCAAGCTTCTGCCACTCCTCCGAGCCCCACCCAAGGGTCCGATGAGGTGCCCAGCTGGACGGACAAAAGCACAACTTTGTGAGCGCTGCCATGGCCACCAGCCTGCAGCCCTGAGCTCCACACACAGCTGAATACGTCCCTCACCCTTCTGGGTACAATGATTATGCATTTGGGTCGAAGAGAAAATGGAGGGAGCTTTGCAAGATGCACCTGGTGGCCCTGTTTGTTTTCATTGTTAAAGTCCCAAGCCCGAAGCCCTTCTTGACTAAAGGGGAAGAGAGAAAACTGAGCACCAAAGCCTAGAAACAGAGCCGGTGTTTGTGGTGAAGGCAACATATAGGGGTCATAGAGTCGAGACGCCTGGATTGGGGTCCAAATTTAGGAGCCTTTAGTGAGAATCCTTCAGGCCCTTCAATGGTCTTACTGGCATCTCTTGTCTTGAGATTAAGGTAGACCTTCTCGGGGAAGCACCCCGTTTGTGTGTTCTTCTGCCCCCTTGGTGCATCCCCCTTGTCTGCTGCGGTTCCGCCCTCATGGTTCTGAGAACAGAGCGGAAGCCACTGTCCCTGGGTTGCAGGACCCCCTCCACCTTTGGGGCAGTACTTGCCTCCCAGTAGCTGCAGCCTCCTGGCCTCGGCCCCGGTCCCAGCTCAGACAGCCTTGGTGGGCGCTCCGGGACTCCTGTCCTCTCTGTCTCGCTGGGATAGGTTGACTCTTCCTCCCCTTCGGTGAAAGAAAGTCCACTGTACATAACAAAACGGCGCCAGGCTGGTAAAGTCATTTTTCTTCTGCCAGTTTTCTCTGTTGCATGCGGCTACATTCAAGTGCCAAATAGCGATTAGAAGACGACCATTCTGATCTCCTTGCTTTTATCAGTCACTGTGTGACTCACTTTACTGTTTCTCTCCATGTGCTCTACGAATGAAGAATGCATACCAGTGTTTTAAAAGGTATTTTTATGTGTTTTTTAAAACTTTTTAAAAGGAGCCTGACACCTCTGTTTCAGCATTTGGAGTCATGCCCATGTTATTTTTTAAAATGTGTGATCACTGACACTTCTGTTGTGTTTGTGTTAACTTATGTGCAATCTTTATAATATATGTATGTATTCCGGTTTCAACTCTCATTTTTTCTTTCATTCCATTTATCATTTGATCTTGCACCGATTAGGATGCCAGTGAATGCTGCTGAATTTTGTGTATATGCAAATTGCAAGATCCAAAACATTCTGATGCAAGGATAAATCTTTACTTTGACTTCCAGCCTGCGTCTCTTTCTTCACTGAAATCTCCTTATCTCGTTCCTCTGCCTTAAATCCTTTTAGACAAGACATTCATTAGGAGGGAAGCATTGATTTACGCAGACAATTTTAGGACTTGTAAAATTTAGCTCAGACATGGTATAGAAACAGCCCCCTGGGCAGGAGTGGGCATGATGGCCAGTGGACCGGTCTTCAGAAGTCCTGAGGGTGTGTGGGTCACTAGTCACAAGCGGCCCTGCAGAGGGCCCACGTCCCTCCTCGAGTCCAAACAGGGCTCAGAGCTCTGAGCAGTGGTTTCCCAGAATCTACGAGGAAGGTGACCACATGCTCAAAGTCCACAGCCAGGTGGGGTCAGAGAGCCCTTCTAATGTCGCTTCTCCTAAAACCTAAACACCTATTAGGCCTCCCTTTACACACCTTGTGTCTCTGGTGATCTCAGCTCTCTTTTTCAGCTTCACCGCCCTTCCCCAGCTCACACCCCAGCTTCCTCTTTTAGATATTCTGGGCCTAATGTGGAAATCTAAACATCTGCTTTTTATTCTTGGTTGTATTTATTTAATAAATTTTATAAGCCTTGTTATATTTGTTACAGATGTGATTAATTAGGATGAGGGCCTAGGAGTCGGGTGGGCCCTTAGGGTGGGTCCATTCTACTCCAGTATGAGGGCGCCTTTATGAGAAGAGGGAACTTGGACCCAGACACACATGCACGGGGAGAACATGCGAGAGGAAGGCAGGCGTCGGGTGGCGCTTCTGCAAACCAGGAAGCCCGGAGGCTGCCGGAGACCAGCGAGTGGCTTCTCTTTCACAGCCTCAGAAGGAAGCAGCCTTGACTTGGCCTTCGTGCCTGCAGGACTGGAGACAATAAGATTGGGTTGTTTGAACCACCTGGTTTGTGGCACTTTGTTAGGACGGCCTGAGCAGACCAACACCCTGCTCCCGCTCTGACCCCTACAACCAAGGTTTCTGTTGTTGGATGTCCCCGAAAGAAGCCCTGAATCAAGCACATGGGTGCAGGTAGCCAATGGGGAGGAGACCCCAGCACGTGCGAGTGAGGGAACAGGGCGGGAGGAGCGGCACAAAGACCCCCCCACCCCCTGGGGACTCGGCTCTGCAGCGATGCCCGAGGGCCTCCCCGGATCGCCCTCCCGAAGGACGGGACCCTGGAGCCTTGCCCCGCCACTACCCCCGGCCCAAGTTGGAGGTTTTCTCCAGCGGTGCCAGCCCCTGGTCTCAAAGGACGGTGCCACCCTGGCGACACAGGGAGATGCGTTTGTTGTACAAGTTCAAAGCAAACAGAAAGAGTGTGCACGCACTTGGCCTTTCACTCGGTTCCTCATCTCCACCTCAGTCCATTGGTAACTTTGGGGCACATCCTGCCAGACAGCTATCTGCAGATTTAAACCTGTACAGTTACATAAACACACGGACTCTCGCTTGTTTATTTATAAGAACAACAGAGCCCAACTCCCGGTATATCATCAAACCCAGGATGACAGGATTGCCAAACCCACTTTGTTTTGCTGAGAAAGCAAACACACTGCCAATTATTTCTTGCAAGACACCGTCAGTTTTGAGATGCATCCTGATGTTCGAGAGGTTAATATGTAAAAACCTTGTATCTTAGAAACGACAAAATGCACTACCTGCGGGCAGTTGTGTAAATTGCCCCTTTGTCCCGCCTTAGGATCGGGCCATGTCAGCAGCATTCCTGGCATAGAGCTACTCTGATGGACATAAAACGTGGAGACTAACCCTTTGTTATTCATGTTATAAACATTTCCCTTCGATGCTTTATAAAAGACTGTCCTTGACGGCTATCTGTCTTCCCTTGTCCAGGAAGCTTTGGGACTTACCAGCCTGTCGACAGGGTTGCTGGGTGTGTGGGTGATTCCGCCTGGCAGCAGGGCCCTCTGTGGCCCTTGCATGGCGGCACCCAATAAACGCATCAAACCAAACATTCATGCCTGTGGAATCATCGTGTAGACGCCAGGAGGGGCTTCATGTGAACAAGTCCTGGGCATTTTTTGTTCCTTGGTGAAGAACAATGTTGATGACATCCATGTGTCAGCACGGCGCTCCGTACCAGGAGAGGGGAGACGGCAGCCATGTCCAGGAGACGGCCCGAGGCCTGGGGGTCTGCACGGCACCAGAATCAGGGTCCCTCGGGCTGTGGCTGGAGCATCGCATCTGTGTCTGGAAAGATGATCCCACCAGCTCTTCTAGAGGAATCGTCTAGAAAGCCCAGCAGATGGGCAGATCCCAGCCACAGTGTCTTAACGTCATTTTTAGTTCAGTAGCTGGACTTGACTATGGAGTTGACATTTACAATGTACTTTCCACGACAACCCGGACACCTCCACCCAGTGCGCCCATCTGCCGAGGCCTGAATTCCTCCATCTTGACTGTGTTTAGGACTCAGGATGGCCCTTCCTTCCTGCCTCAGCCCCACCAGGTAGTAATGAACTTGACGCCCAGACACCCAAAAGCCTTTCTCTGCCCCTGACAGACTTCTTCCTGGGAACAAACCGACCCACCACGGGCTCCCACCCCCTGACTTGCCCGCAAGTTCACTCCCAGGATCTACTCACGTTAGGATGGCCAACCTCGGGGCAACACGCATCTTCGATTGCTGACTCTGCGGCCCTGACCAAATCCCTGTCCCTGGACTCCCCACTTCTGTCCAGACGAGTGTTGTGAGGAGTCCCCTTCCCCGAATACAAGGGCTGTTCCTGCAGGACCAAAGTGGGCCTGCTGGCCAGGAGGGGAAGCAACTGTCCAGTCAGGTCAGAGCTGCGGAAATGCAGGCAGGCCAAAGAGGCCGCGCCGACCCCACCCCGTCTGCCACTCACTGTCTTGCTTTGGTTTGGTTTTCTTTCCCTTCCCTCCCTTTAATAAAAAATACCATGGGTTTTAAGATCATTTCATCCCAGACACCTCCTGCACAGGGTCACCAGGGTATCGAGACTTGTCCATCCATGGTCTGCCCTCCTGGATGGATAAAGCTTTGTCCTAGAGGGGGGCGTCTAGTTTTCACTGCACTACGTCCCACGAGGATGCACAGCAAGACCCCAGGATACAAAACGAGGGACTAACCCAGCCTGGGAAATGGGGATGGGGGTGAACGAGGCTTCTCTGAGGGAGTCTCACTGGAGCTGAGCTCGGGGCTGAAGGGGACCATCTTGTGGAGGAGGAGGTGGGGAAAGTCCGAGGCAGAGAAGAGAGCAGGGCGTGTGTGTGCGTGTGTGTGTGTACATCTGCATGTGTATGTGTGTGTGTACATCTGCATGTGTATGTGTGCGTGTTCATCTGCATGTGTATGTGTGCGTGTGTATAAACGCATGAATGTGTATGCATGTGTATACGTGTGTAGGAAGGGGTGTGGACCCATGTATATGTTTATGTATATGCATGTATATGTGTGTAGGAAGGGGCGTGGACCCATGTATATGTTTATGTATATGCATGTATGTGTGTAGGAAGGGGTGTGGACCTATGTATATGTTTATGTATATGCATGTGTATATGTGTGTAGGAATGGGTGTGGATCCATGGATATGTTTATGTATATGCATGTGTATATGTGTGCAGGTCTATGTATGTGTGAGGGGGCGTGGAGGGGTTTAACTACGAAAAACAAGAGTTGGCTGGTACAGAACTGGAGCAAAAAAGTCAAGGGGAGATTGCGGCAGCCGTATCACGGAAAAGCTTGGAGATGAAAAAGTAAAAATAGCTTCCATTGTGCTCGCTTCGGCAGCACATATACTAAAACTGGAACAATACAGAGATTAGCATGGCCCCTGGCAAGGATGACACACAAATTCGTGAAGCATTCCATATTTTTTGTTAGACGGCAGAAACTAACACAACATTGTAAAGCAATTTATACTCCAATAAAGATGTTAAAAAAACAAAAATAGCTTCCATTTACTGAGAACTTTCCATCAGAGGGATGTTACTCACTTGGAATCTGAGGCTCAGAGAAGGTACCAAACCAAACCACACAGTGAGTAGGTATTTATTTCTTGCACCCCATTCTTAAACACAAAATTAGCCTGGCTAAATATCAGTGGTTCATATTTCTGACCCTTCACCCTCAAGAATGCTAAATAAAGGATGTGTCCTGTGGACGTGTGCTGTTTTAAACACTTGTTTGAATGACCTTTTCTAATCCAGCACCTACAACCCTATAAAATAAAACCACTCTTATGCTCTTGAAATACTGTACTTACGAAGGCAAGAAAATATGCTGATATATTTCAGTGAGATTTTTGGTTAGAATTGAACCCTGAGAGCTTTTAAATTAATTTTTATCCCATTCCCCAGGCATACAGCTAATTGGAATCTTTCTATATGTAAGGTTCATAATTATTGCTAAATGTGAAGTGTTGGCAGGACAACTTAATCGTAGAAAATTCGTTTTACAATTTCTTGAATCTTGCCTACCTAAATGACACGTGTGTGACTCACACCTTCAAATAGAGTGCCTTTTCTAACGAGGGTTGAGCTTCCTAAAATACTCTCCCTTCTGCTCGCCAGAATCCCACCCCTCTTTCTGGCCCAGCTCTTTGAATGTCCCCTCCCTGCTTCATCCTCAACCCTCCTACCTCCATCTGTCACTCACCTTCCCTTAAGATTTCAGACAACACTGTCTAAAACTGTATTACAGCAGCCAAAATAGCAAAAGCAAATACCACTGACTCAGCAGACACGCCTGGATTCATGCATTCGTTCAGCAAACATTTATTGTTATGTGGACCTGGCTCCATGCCAGACACGGGGCTTACAAGAGTGGACAGACGGGCACCAATGTTACAGTTCACACTCTAGGGGACAGCGACCTTTTCTTATCTTCCATCCTTACCTCCACCTGGCAAGGTAGGTGAATGGGGAGGACTCCATACAGGTGACTGGAGGGAAGGTGTGCTCATTTCTGGTTCAGGGAACACAAAGGGACAGGAGGATAAAGCAGAACAAAGCAGAACAGCAGTGTGACGGATGGCTCTGAAACTGAAGAAAGACGGAAGTCCAGGCTTAGAACGAGACGTAGGAGCCGTGGGCTCCCATGTTAAGTGACTCAGAAGTGGTGGGGAAGAGCCTCACGCTCTGTGGCCGCCAGATGTGGCCGCGCTCCGGGGGGAACGTTGTTGGGGTTTGTGTTGCTCCGTCCAAGGTGCCCTGCTGGGGACTTAGGCCAACAGATGTGGCCAGAGAGAACACAGGTGAGAGCAGATTTGCAGAAAGCTCAGAATATGCAAATGACATGAAAGCTCAGAGGGGTGCTAGTTTGGAATTGAGGGGCACCCTGGCCGATGGCCCTAAGACTGAGTGGGGGCGATGACTTCTCAGATGAAAGCGGTCCTAGTTTAGACAAAGATGCTTAACGTGGAAAAGGCAAGCTACCCGTCATTCCTCAGAGTCTCATCGTTACCCTGAAAATGGCATCGCAAACTGTCCTCCAAATCACACATTTATTCCCTTAAGTGGTCAGGACACCAAGGAGAGGACAATCCTGTGCAGATGACCCACAGCCCTAGTGCCTGGACCCGAGGTCTCCCCAGTGTAAAGGTATATCTTGTAACTTCCATTTTTCTCTTCCTATACCCACTCATTCATATTTCCAGAGTGCCTGCCTGGTGTTGGGGATACAGGATAGAAGCCCCGCCTTTCACATTTGGATGGAGGAGGTATGTACATGAAGGACACAGACACACACGGAAACATTTACAACAACACAGCATGGCAAGTGCCTGAGCCCACGGCCAATGGGGGTTGACCGTGGAAGTCACAAACTCCAGGGCTTCATGTCGCCAAGTTGAAGGCCACACCTTGGCAAACCCTCCCCCGCCCCTGCCCCCCACCCACCCAAGTTTTAAATTTTTTTCAGTTTAGGAGACCCAGCAGTCTCCTTCATAACCTCCACATGGAGGTTCTGAATAAACTATTCAGAGTCAGAAAATTCCAAGCTTTCTTCCCTTAAACCTGCCCTCCCCTCCAGACAGCACTATTTACAGAATTCACTCTAAAATTTATGGCAAATATTGTACTACAGCTTATCGCTAAACTAAATCCATTACATGTTTTTCCCTTTTAAGCTTCTTGGCTGTTTATCTTCACTCTCGATGACTTCTGGTTCTTATTTTCTTGACACCCACATTGTCATTTTCCTGTTTGGGAACCAAAATATAACTCTTAAGTAATTTAAAAGAACAATTTTTGTAACCGACTCTGCAACCCCCCCCCGATCCTTTCTAGGTGTGATGCAGGCCGTCAGTCCTAGAAAATTAATCTTGAGGTTGGAAATAAACTTTGAGATAGAGCCTGTGAAAGCTGCCTTAAACTGTTTTTACTATTTAATTTTTTAAAGTTGAATATTGTGTCCTTTGATAGGAAGGTTTGTAAGCTATTTTTAAGTTAATACATCATAAAAGGAGAAAGAAAATTTCCACAAATACATACATTTTCACTAATTTTCATAAATACCATTCAGAAAAAGTGAATTCAAAGGTATAATCAGGCTGAAATCTTTTTTTTCTTTTATACACAAAGACAATGATTTAAGACCTTTATTAACAGGTGCTTGCAGTTGGTTGACTGTTTTGAAAAAAATCAAGCTGTAAACTTTTATTACAAAATAAAAAATGAGGTTCTTAAAAATCTCAACTTGACCAGATGTGAAACAAATTAAAAACCAGAAGACCCAAAAGGTTTCGGCCTGGTTTTTTTCTCAGGCCAAAGTCTTTTGAGTCTTCTAAAGAACTGAGGTGTTTGAAGGGGACCGCCCCTCAATGCTACATGAGTGTCAGCGGAGAGCACATTTGGGACGGGACAAAGGACACCAGACTGCCTCCCGGGTGGGAGCTCTGAACAGTGCTACCCACCTAAACACACCTCCACCTGCTCTTCATCCCAGCTTTCCAAAGGGACGCCTTCGAAATCAGGCGTTACCCCTCTGGAAGTTTCATTCAATCTCTAACCAGGGACTGAAGACAGCTGCCTGTAATCTTAATACAGGGTATGCAACAAGCAGTCAGAAAATACTAACTGGATAAATCCCTTTTCCTTCCTTTTTAAAAAATTTTTGGCCACGGCAAGCAGGATCTTAGTTCCCTGACCAGCGATTGAACCCGAGCCCCCTGCAGCGGAAGCTCGGAGTCTTAACCACGGGACCGCCAGGGAAGTCCCATCCCTTGTTTTTCCTGAACGATGACTTTACAATGTGAATTTACTACTCAAAGTGGAATTCCCAAGCCAGATACACCTGAATACAGAGACACAAAATGTGGCTTAGATTCATGCCTCTTACATTAGTCTAACCGGGAGCTGGCGGCGTGTTATTACATATCACGTGTTGTGTCTGCTCTAGCAACATGGGGAAAAAAATCATATCGAAACATTCTATGCAATTAAAAAAAGAGAAACAGGAAATTACTTGCCTTTTGAAGGCTGTTGGAACATCTCCTGGCACCCCGGGTTACTCTCTGCTCGGATTCACTCTCCGAAGGGTTTCCTCGAGGGCGGAGAGTAATCTTCCTGGATCTCAAATCCTTGAAGTCTGAACATTCCGTTGCTTCTTTCTCTTCCTGCTTCTTCACAGGGATTTCCACCCTTTCCTGCCTTGCTGTCTCCTCTATGGCATCAGGCAAAGGCTTCTGATTCTGCTTCCCAGATCTCAAGGGCCTCCTTCTATCTTGAACTTTGCCCCCAGAGGTAGGATTCTCGGCTGCATCTTCTGGGCTTTGTAGCTTCATCTCTTGGGAAGTCTTCATGGACTTCTTTTCACTTCTCTTTATTTTCATCTTTCTTGCTGATATAAGAGACCCAGGTCTTTGCTCCTCTATATCGGTTTTAGTGGGGCGCCTGGTACGCAGGGACATTCCCTAAAAAAATTCAAGACATCCACAAAACGTCAAGAATGGGAAATACAAATCTTAAAACTCCACATGGAGAAAATCATTCGAAAGTGAACTCAAAGGGGAATTAATTGGAAAATTTACCATTGGTTCATTTTCTAAGATGCCAGTAATCTAATCGAGTCAAGGGAGTGCCTGTCACTTTGTTCCAACGGAGGAATCACCATTTCTACTGATAAACCATAAGTAAGGAATTCAGTATAAATTCCAGTCACAATGTCTGAATGTCATATACATCAGTCTGATTATGACAAGCGTTAAAAGGGTATTCCAGGAGAATGCCCCATTATTCAGGTAGTAAATGAATTCCTAATCCTTTAACAATCATTGATAGAGCAGGACAGGAAAACCTCCATTTCTGGAATCGAATTTACAAGTTTCTCTGACAACCCTGACAGTTAAGGTCTTCCCAAGACACACGCCCCGTGTAAATTGTTCTAATTGTTTCAGTACTGACGCAGATCCTACTTCTAACCAGCACTCCAGGCCTCGGTGTCTGAAACAAGGCAGGACTGAATTGCCCACTTTTTCTCGGCACAAAGTTCCACACCTTTTGAAGATGAACACAACTGTCACTTCCCGAGAAGTTCTTGGCAAAATGTGTAATAATAACTTTGACCAGTTATCTTCCCAAATTAGCCTATTCTCTCTAGAAATCCCCAAAGGATGCTTTACGAAGGTCTGCAGTTACTCACTGTGTTGAATGCAGACCCCACGGGGAAAGGGTACCCACACATACATTCGGGTTATGTACAATTTATAGCAAACGTTATACCAGGATGGAGAGCATCCACCCAAGATGACATGGTACGATTACATCACACCACCCATCACCTTATTTGGAGCGTGCGCGTCTTCTCCTTCGGGATCCCTAGCTTCAGTTTTCGTGTCATTGTTGGGCAGGTTTCCCACAGGTTTAGTCCTTTGTGCCAAAACCCTCAGATTTCCCTTCTTCACTCCCGAGGGTTTGGGGGGCTCCCGTCTCTCCCTGGGGGCTGTCCTCTGCTTCTTCTGGAGGGGCTTCTCTTCTTCAGGGTCCTGTGCAGCCATCGCAGGGCATAGCCTCTTCCTGCCCACAACCCTTACATCTCCTCCCAGTTTCCTCTTGGGGGACGGGGAGATGCAGCTTTCACCTGGTGATTTTACAGGGTCTCTGCTGCCCATAAGGTCTCCCATGAACCTTACTTTAGGGGCCCTGAGGACTCTTTGGGATATTTCTACAGGTCTTCTTCTGTCTGCTGTTTGCTTTGGGGCTCTCTTAACTCCAGAAGCATCGTTTCCCAGTTCCTTGGCCTGATCTGGCTTTTGGAAGAGCTCTTTGAAACTGGCCAGATCTTCCAGGGGTTGGGCTTTTTCCTTAAATGTTCTTAGCCGACTCTTGACACAAATTACATTTTCTGCTGAGTCCAGGTTCTGCCTTGAAGTTTCCTTAAACACTTTGATATTGTCCTCATCACCTACTGGTTCTCTGTGCATGGTTTCCCCTGCTGTTTGGATGGGCTCTCTGAGTACTGAGAGCTCTTCTAGGTCTACTTTTCCCAGTGGTGACTTGAGCTGCCTCTTTCTACTTGCTGGCCTGGTGACTGGTCCGGCTGGTAGAGATTGGCAGGGCACTGCAGTGATTTTAACATCACTCACCGGTTCTTTGGCCTGACCTGGCTTTTGGAAGAGCTCTTTGAAACTGCACGAGTCTTCCACGGGTTGGGTCTTTTCCTTAAATGTTCTTAGCCGACTCTTGATGCCCATTACATTTTCTGCCAAGACCAATTTCTGCCTTGAAGTTTCCTTAAACGCTTTGCTGTCTTTTTCATCACCTACAGGCTCCCTCTGCATATCCCCTGGTGTCTGTGTGGGCCTCCTGGGCGCTGAGGGCTCTCCTGCACCCACTTTCCCTGGCGGTGACTTGAGTCGCCTCTTTCTACTTGCTGGCCTGGTGACTGGTCCGGCTGCTGGAGATTGGCAGGGCACTGGAGCGATTTTACCATCGCTCACTGGTTCCTTGGCCTGACCTGGCTTTTGGAAGGGCTCGTTGAAACTGCACGAGTCTTCCACGGGTTGAGGCTTTTCCTTCAATGTTCTTAGCCGACTCTTGGTGCCCATTACATTTTCTGCCAAGACCAATTTCTGCCTTGAAGTTTCCTTAAACGCTTTGCTGTCTTTTTCATCACCTACAGGCTCCCTCTGCGTATCCCCTGGTGTCTGTGTGGGCTTCCTGGGTGCTGAGGGCTCTCCTGCACCCACTTTCCCTGGAGGTGACTGGAGTCGCCTCTTTCTACTTGCTGGCCTGGTGACTGGTCCGGCTGGTGGAGATTTGTAGGGTATTGTGGTGGTTTTCTCATTAGTCATTTGTTCCTCTGCATGATCTGGGGTTTGGAAGAGCTCTTTGAAGCCAGCCAGGTCTTCCAGGGGTGGGGCCTTTTCCTTGGGTGTCCTTAGCCACCTCTTGCTTTTAGTTACATTTTCTTCAGGGTCCAACTTTTCTTCTGGAGTTTCCTGAGACACCACAATGTCTCTGTCACCACCCTCTGGTTCTCTGTGTGAGCGTGTGGGCTTCCTGAGTGCAGGGAGGTCTTCCTGCACAGTCACTTTCTGGGAAGGTGTCTTGAGATGTCCCTTTCTACTTGGTGTGTTGATTGCTTCTAGTTGTGGAGACTGGCAGAGCATTTTGAAGATTTTGTCAGCACTCATTGGTTCCACTGTGTGATCTGGTGTTTGGAAGAGCTCTTTGAAGCCAGCCAGGTCTTCCAGGGGTCGGGCCGTTTTCCTGGGTGTCCTTGGCCGACTCTTGCTTCTAGTTACATTTTCTGCAGGGTCCAGTTTCTCTCCTGGAGCTTCCTGAGACACTGCAATGCCTCTGTCACCACTCTCTGGTTCTCTGTGTGAGTGTGTGGTTTCCCCTGGCATTTGTTGAGGCTTCCTGAGTGCTGAGAGGTCTTCCTGCACATCCACTTTCTGGGAAGGTGTCTTGAGACGTCCCTTTCTACTTGGTGTGTTGACTGGTTCTGGTTGTGGAGATTGACAAGGTATGTTGGTGGGTCTGTCATCAGTCGTTGGTTCCTTGGCACAATCTGGGGTTTGGAAGAGCTCTTTGAAGCCGGCCAGGTCTTCCAGGGGTGGGGTCTTTTCCTTGGGCGTCCTTAGCCACCTCTTGCTTCCAGTTACATTTTCTACAGGGTCCAGTTTTTCTTCTGGAGCTTCCCGAGACACTGCAATGTCTCTGTCACCACCGTCTGGTTCTCTGTGTGAGTGTGTGGGCTTCCTGAGTGCTGAGAGGTCTTCCTGCACAGCCACGTTCTGGGAAGGTGTCTTGAGACGTCTGGTCACGCTGGTTGATATAACAACTGGCTCTGGTGGTGGAGATCGGCAGAGCATTTTGGGGGTTCTGTCCTCAGTCATTGGTTCCTTGGCTTGATGTGGGGTTTGGAAGACCTCTTTAAAGCCAGCCAGGTCTTCCAGGGGTGGGGCCTTTTTCTTGGGTGTCCTTGGCCGCCTCTTACTTCCATTTACATTTTCTGATGAGTTCAGTTTCTGATGTGGAGTTTCCTGAAACAATTTGATGCTTTTATCATCATCTACTGGTTCTCCCTCTGAGTGCCTAGTTTCCCCTGGTGTCTGTGTCGTTCTGCATGCTGAGAGCTCTGTCTCTATATCTGCTTTCCCCAGAGGTGTCTTGAGCCATCTCTTCGTATTGGTTGGTGTGACAATTAGCTGTGGTTGGGAGGACATGCAGAGCGTTTTGGGAGTTTTGACAACTGCCCTTGGTTCCTTGGCATGATCTGGGGTTTGGAAGAGCTCTTTGAAACCTGCCAGGTCTTCCAGAGATTGCACCTTTTTCTTGGGTGTCCTTGGCGGCCTCTTGCTTCCATTTACATTTTCTGCTGAGTCCAGTTTCTGCTTTGGAGTTTCCTTAGATATTTTGATGCTTTTATCACCACCTGCTCGTTCTCTGTCTGAGTGCCTGGCTCCCCCTGGTGTCTGTGTGGGCTTCCTGGGCGCTGAGGGCTCTTCTGCACCCACCTTCCCTGGCGGTGACTGGAGTCGCCTCTTTCTACCTGTTCGCCTGGCGACTGGTTCTACTGCTGGAGATTTGTAAGGTATTGTGGTAGGTTTGTCATCAGTCATTGGCTGCTTTGCATGATCTGGGGTTTGGAAAAGCTCTTTGAAGCCAGCCAGGTCTTCCAGGGGTGGGGCCGTTTTCCTGGGTGTCCTTGGCCGCCTCTTGCTTCCAGTTACATTTTCTACAGGGTCCAGTTTTTCTCCTGGAGCTTCCTGAGGCACCGCAATTCCTCTGTCACCACCCTCTGGTTCTCTGTGTGAGCGTGTGGGCTTCCTGAGTGCTGAGAGGTCTTCCTGCACATCCACTTTCTGGGAAGGTGTCTTGAGATGTCCCTTTCTACTTGGTGTGTTGATTGGTTCTAGTTGTGGAGACTGGCAGAGCATTTTGAAGATTTTGTCAGCACTCATTGGTTCCACTGTGTGATCTGGTGTTTGGAAGAGTTCTTTGAAGCCAACCAGGTCTTCCAGGGATGGGGCCTTTTCCTTGGGTGTCCTTGGCTGTCTCTTGCTTCCAGTTACATTTTCTGCAGGGCCCAGCTTTTCTCCTGGAGCTTCCCGAGACACCGCAATGCCTCTGTCCCCACCCTCTGGTTCTCTGTGTGAGTGTGTGGGCTTCCTGAGAGCCGAGACATTTTCCTGCACATCCACTTTCTGGGAAGGGGTCTGGAGCCATCTCTTGCTACTTGTAGGCATGCTGACTGCTTCTGCTGGTGGAGATTTGTAGGGTATTGTGGTAGGTTTGTCATCAGTCATTGGCTGCTTTGCATGATCTGGGGTTTGGAAAAGCTCTTTGAAGCCAGCCAGGTCTTCCAGGGGTGGGGCCGTTTTCCTGGGTGTCCCTGGCCGCCTCTTGCTTCCAGTTACATTTTCTGCAGGACCCAGTTTCTCTACTGGTGTTTCCCGAGACGCTGCAATGCCTCTGTCACCACCCTCTGGTTCTCTGTGTGAGTGTGTGGTTTCCCCTGGTGTTTGTTGAGGCTTCCTGAGTGCTGAGAGGTCTTCCTGCACATCCACTTTCTGGGAAGGTGTCTTGAGACGTCCCTTTCTACTTGGTGTGTTGACTGGTTCTAGTTGTGGAGACTGGTAGAGCGTTTTGGGGGTTTTGTCATCAATCATGTGTTCCTTGGCACGATCTGGGGTTTGGAAGAGCTCTTTGAAGCCAGCCAGGTCTTCCAGAGGTGGGGCCTTTCCCTTGGGTGTCCTTGGCCGTCTCTTACTTCCAGCTACATTTTCTGCAGGGTCCAGTTTCTGCTTTGGAGTTTCCTTAAACAATTTGATGCTTTTATCATCACCTGGTTCTCTGTGCATGGGCATAGTTTTCCCTGGTGTCTGTGTGAGTTTTCCAAGGGCTGAGGCATCTTCTAAATCTGCTTTCCAGGAAGGTGTCTTGAGCTGTGTGTTTGTCCTGGTGGGCGTGCCGACTGTTCCTGATCTGGGAGATTTACAGAGCATTTTTGTGGCTTTGTTCTCTGCATCCACTGCTTCCTTGGCATGAGCTGGGGTCTGTAGGAGACTTGGGATGTCCACCTGGTCTTCCTCAGGCTGTGTCTCCTGCAAGCTCTTGAGGGCGGTCAGGTCTGCTGCTAGCTCACACTTCAGCTCTGAAGCTCTTCTTGATCTCCTCACAGCTATCATCTTTTTGGAATTTTCTTTTGATTCCATGTGCTTTGTACATGTTTCACTTTCCTTCATGTCTCCCTCCAGCTTCTGCTCTGGTTGTGGTGCTTTCCTCAGACATCTTCCCAAGACGTTCTCAAAAGTGTCAGGTTTTGGGCCTTCGTTTTTACACTCTACACCTGGTGTCTGTGAGCTTCTGAGCTCCATGGACCTTCTAAACTTCTTTGCACTTGATGTTGTCTTTGGTGTCATTGCCTCAGACACTGGAGTTTTCATCTCAGCACCTGTTGTTTCATACACAATCCTAGGAGTTTTCATAATACTTTCATTTATTTTAATACTCTGGCGTCTTAAGGCAGGGCTTGCAGAACTTTGATCAGACAGCTCTTTCGGTGCATCTTGAGTCCCGGGGGACACATTCTGTCCTATAAGAAATTAAAACATGCATGATGAGTATATTCTGTGCACTGTGCGCCAGTGTGGTGTTTTAGCCTCAGGAGGTATTCAAGAGCCAATAAACCAGCCTCCCATCCATCTCAGGATACGAGGCTGCCTACATGGCCATAAATCTGCCTGACATGAACCACACACAATTAAGAACAATGCTTTTGGGTGACACAGAGTGGGGTCATGCATAGGCAGTGGTAAGGGTCTATGGGGATCGGATAAAAGAAAAACATTCCTTAGGCTGCCAGCCAGGTCTCAGTGAGCTGAACACACACATTTTTTTCATCAAACGTGAGAAACAGCTGTTTCATCTGCTGGACCACCAATGCAATAATATGGATTATACTTAGTGCGCTAAGGGTCCATGTTACACAGGAAACGTCAATTCTTTAGCAACAGGAAGCATCTTGAGTGTAGCACGCTGTCCCCTCTATGACAGAAACTCGGTGACCAGTGTAAATGAGAGAGAAACAGACTCACGTCTCACTCTCAGCCTGCGGCAGGTGCCCAACCAGAGATTAACAGGAGTACCTGCGTGGTGCACGCCTGCTGCCTTTGTCTTTGGTAACTGACAGCACTCTCACGTTTGAGCGATTTACATATAAGTGTGATGAGAGGTCATTACGCTTTCCTGCTTGTCAGCCTCTTTACTTACGCTAAATGAGGAAGGCCACGTGCACACCCGTAGTTTAGTTAGTGAACAGGCGTGTGCCTCTCCACGCACGTCTCTGAAAGCCAGTGCTACTCCAGCTGCTGAGGGAAACCTCCCCTAAGAACAACGGGACAGGGAAGCTGGACGTGGTACTTTATCAGGAATATCTGTCGTAGCGAAATAATACAGCAGCTGCCGTGAAAAAAGACCATCTACAGTTTCCACTGAAAAGATCCAAGTGCCAGGGGAAAAAAGGAAACCCACCAGAATTTTCTGAAGCACACAGCAGAGGTTTTCCTCCTGAATGAGGTACTGGAAGCTCTTTTCCAAGCAAATCCTCTGAATTTGAAAAAGTGGAGGGACACAGGCTCATCCCTTGTGGTTTCTCTTTCACTGGAGTCTTGAACATTTCAGGCAGCCCTGTTACATGAAAATAGTGGAAAAACAGTTAACAGACTGCTCATACCTGCAAATCAGCACGCCTGTCCTCATGTACAACAGAGGAAATGTCGGAAGGCAAACAACAGATCACTCCCTAGAACTTCTGGGAGACAGGGTCTCAAAGGAGAGATTGATGCATCAGCTGTGAACCCATATTTTGAAGAGGGCAATGGGAAGTTAGACTCATATATGGCCTCTTCTCTGGCCTTCCTCTTGGAAAGAATGGAATGAAGGAAGTCCATGTCCACCCTCTTCTAGAGTAAACTCCAGCTGTGAGCCCTGGCCAGAGGACACAGGCTGCCCTCCAGGGTCCCTCTCCATGCATCCCCAAATCTAGGGCCCTCATGCTCCTTCGATAAGTCCTAGGTTATGCACTACAAGCGTCTATGTACAAATAAAATGTCCAAATGTTAAAAGTGAGATAGGACTGCCCATTTTTAGTATTGTCAAGTAATAATATCACCATCTTTTCATTTTAACACCAACAGGTAGTACTAACATAATCTCAGGAAACCAACAAGCAAACCTGTCCAGTTCTCTAAAGGGAAGATTTAAGTTTCTCAAACTCTCATCCTCCTCCTGTTCTCCTTACTTTTCTCATTCTGACGTCAATGGACCAAAACAGACCGGCAGCCGACTCTCTCAGTCTGGCAGCCGCCTGCAAAGTGTGTTTGGGAAACCTGTTCTGAAGGCACCCAAGCCAGGCACCTCACTTCAAAAGCTCATTCCTCCGCCACCGTTCAGGCCTTACTTAAAATATCCAAGATTTAATATTTCATCACATATGAATGTTTTGTCATGAAAGTACTCACACCGAGGGGTGGCCTTTCTTGAGTGTCTAGAAAAATGTTTTGAAGGAAGGCTGAGAAAATTTACCATCCCACGTACTATTTAAACTTCTACTTATCTTATAAGTATTTTTGAGAATTTGCCTTCAACGCTTCGTAACATATATAGTAGTACACTCACACGTGTGCATAATTTACAAGGATACACAGATATCTGCGTATTGGGTGGTATAAGCTCAAATTGTTTCTTACTCATGGAGCATGCTATCAGAACTCTGGCTATCACTGTTCTACATTTTTATAGTTTGCTTTTAGAAAACTAATAAATATGTTGATCCAAATGTGATTCTAATTGGAGGGTATCTTGCATAGGTTTTATAAGTGGTACAACAATTCTCCCATCTTAAAATCCGCCAGGAAATTAAAACTAGATTCCACCTAATGGATTCAAGTGTCACCTCCCTCCATAGGTGCTCAGAATGGAAACCACTGGTCAAACGATGTAGCAGACAATCCCAAACCCAGGGTCCTGCCGTGGTTCTAATCTAGTACAAGTGTCAGCAGGTCACATCACACTTTTACTGAAAATAGCAATACCGGCTCAACTATGAATGGCTCTAAGAAGCCTTTGTTTCATGAACCAGCTAAGCTACATGGAAGGAAAGGAAATCTTGAAGAAGCAAAATATCACTCAAACCAATTGCTCCAACTCTGGCAATTATAAGAGCAAGGCTGCTTTCTTTACCATAAAGCCGCTGCCAACGTTGTATACCTGCGCTGCTCTCCCAGGTAAAGATGTGCATTTCCTGCCATACCTGCTTCCTACAGGCCACGTGACTCCAAATCGTCAGGGACCTGGCCTTGTTCTCCAATCCAGCACCCTCTTCCTTGAATATCATGACCCTCCAAGTTGACTAGATTGTTTATCCTCCTGTCCCATGCACAGCAGATAAACAAACGTGATACCCACCCATGTGGACCCACACAGGAGGATGAAAGAGTCCTGGTTCCTAAGAGCCATGACTATGCTTTTACCTGAAAGATCTTCACTAAAGTCCATTGGTTTGTTGACCACGAAGTTGTTCAGCATCCTGTAGGGCTGAGCTGGCCCGTTCACTTTCTCGATGTGAGCTTTCCCTATTATTATGGTACAGGGAGAGTTTGCGTGGCCTGTGCTAAACTGATTGTGAACGATGCCAGTCAGCTTCTGGAAAACAATCAGGAAATCCATAAAGCGTCAAAGCCTCAATCCACACTTAATGTATCCCTTAATCACATTATGTATCAAAGAGTAATTCACATTGGAACACCTACCTTCGGAGTATTGGTTCTTCTTTGCCTTTTGCTCAGGGGTCTTGGAGGTCCACGTTTAACAGCTTTGGTCTGGGTCTGCTTGGTACCAAGTTTTACCACGTCTGCCCACGATTTTGCCACTGTCACAGGGAAAAGACGTTGAGACTTTTCAAAACTGGCACTAAGGAGAAAATCAACCTTGAAACCTATCTGCTGATACAACACTAACCAACTAAATTGGCCTCAGAAGCGCCACTCCTTCTCTTGGAATAAATCATCTGTAAGATGCCATGCTGGCTTCGATCCATGGAAGCTCTCTTGGAGGGCAGGTTGCCACTTTTTCTCCGTCCTCTCTTGGAAATATCTGTCTGATGTGGAGATTTGCTGTCGCTGGAGATGGAAGACGCCTTGGATAAGCTACGGCATTGGTTGGGCACATCTGGAGAAGTGGGAGCAGCATTAGGAGCTGGAGGCCTCACGAACGCATCCTGTGCAGTCGCCTCCAGACAGACTTCTGAAGAATCTTCTTTCCCTGATGGCTGAGGCTGCTCCTGACAAGATTTAAATGTGCATAAGAAACCGTACCACAAATATAACTTCTCTGTAGGTTCAAGATGACGGAGTAGGACGTGTGCTCAATCCCTCTTGCGCGAGCACCGGAATCACAACTAACTGCTGAACAACCATCGACAGGAAGACACTGGAACTCACCAAAAAAGACACCCCACATCCAAAGACAAAGGAGAAGCCACAGTGAGACTGTAGGAGGGGCGCAATTCCAATAAAATCAAATCCCATAACCGCTGGGTGGGTGACTCACAAACTGGACAACACTTATACCACAGAAGTCCACCCACTGGAGTGAAGGTTCTGAGCCCCACATCAGGCTTCCCAACCTGAGGGTCCAGCAACGGGAGGAGGAATTCCCAGAGAATCAGACTTTGAAGGATAGCAGGAGTTGATTGCAGGACTTCGACAGGACTGGGGGAAACAGAGACTCCACTCTTGGAGAGCACACACAAAGTAGTGCGCGCATCGGGACCCAGGAGAAGGAGCAGTGACCCCATAGGAACCTGAACCGGACCTACCTGCTAGTGTTGGAGGGCCTCCTGCAGAGGCGGGGGCTGGCTGTGGTTCACCATGGGGACGAGGACACTGGGAGCAGAAGCTCTGGGAAGTGCTCCTTGGCATGAGTCCTCCCAGAGTCTGCCATTAGCCGCACCAAAGAGCCCAGGTAGGCTCCAGTGTTGGGTTGCCTCAGGCCAAACAACCAGCAGGGAGGGAACCCAGCCCCACCCATCAGCAGACAAAGCGGGTTAAAGTTTTACCGAGCTCTGCCCACCAGAGCAACAGTCAGATCTACCCACCACCAGTCCCTCCCATCAGGAAACTTGCACAAGCCTCTTAGATAGCCTCATCCACCAGAGGGCAGACAGCAGAAGCAAGAACTACAATCCTGCAGCCTGTGGAACAAAAACCACATTCACAGAAAGATAGACAAGATGAAAAGGCAGAGGGCTACGTACCAGATGAAGGAACAAGATAAAACCCCAGGAAAACAACTAAGTGAAGTGGAGACAGGCAACCCTTCCAGAAAAGGAATTCAGAATAATGATAGTAAAGATGATCCAGGACCTGGGAAAAAGAATGGAGGCAAAGATTGAGAAGATGCAAGAAATATTTAACAAAGACCTAGAAGAATTAAAGAACAAACAAACAGAGATGAACAATACAATAACTGAAATGAAAAATACACTAGAAGGAATCAACAGCAGAATAACTGAGGCAGAAGAACGGATAAGTGACCTGGAAGACAGAATGGTGGAATTCACTGCCGCGGAACAGAATAAAGAAAAAAGAATGAAAACAAATGAAGACAGCCTAAGAGACCTCTGGGACAACATTAAACGCAACAACATTCGCACTATAGGGGTCCCAGGAGGGGAAAAGAGAGAGAAAGGAACAGAGAAAATATTTGAAGAGATTATAGTCAAAAACTTCCCTAACATGGAAAGGAAATAGCCACCCAAGTCCAGGAAGCACAGAGTCCCATACAGGATAAACCCAAGGAGAAACACACAGAGACACACAGTAATCAAACTGGCAAAAATTAAAGACAAAGAAACATTACTGAAAGCAACAAGGGAAAAACGACAAATAACATACAAGGGAACTCCCTTAAGGTTAACAGCTGATTTCTCAGCAGAAACTCTACAAGCCAGAAGGGAGTGGCATGATATATCTAAAGTGATGAAAGGGAAGAAACTACAACCAAGATTACTCTACTTGGCAAGGATCTCATCAGGATTTGACAGAGAAATCAAAAGCTTTAAAGACAAGCAAAAGCTAAGAGAATTCTGCACCGCCAGGCTTTCTATTTATTTTATATTGGAGTATAGGTGATTAACAATGTTGTGTTAGTGTCAGGTGTACAGCAAAGTGATTCAGTTATACATATACATGTATCTATTCTTTTTCAAATTCTTTTCCCATTTAGGTTTAAACAGAATATTGAGCAGAGTTCCCTGTGCTATACAGCAGGTCCTCGTTGGTTATCTATTTTAAATATAGCACCGTGTGTACGTGTCAATCCCGAACTGTTTAAATCTGGAAGCACCAAACGTTTCAACCAGTCTGTCAAGTATATGGTAGAGATGGGAGTCTATGTCTCTCGCTTAAAAAAAAAAAAAAAAAAGTGGCGGTGGGGGGAAGAAAGCACCAAACAAATCTTAATTGGGGTCTTTCAGGTGGAAAGATGAAAGGAACTTCCTCATGAGTGAGGCTCTTATCTAAGTCCAAGGAAACACCGTCCATGGGAATTTAACCACCTTTGATCTGCATGGAAAGACAGCCACTCACTTCTGGGACCCCACATAAAAGGGAAGGAAAGGAGACATACCTCACACGCCTGTTAGTGTGAAAGGAAATTAAAGGCTTCCCAGGCCCTCTGATGAAGGCGAGCTGTGGGCCAACACCCTTCTAGAGATCTAAGATCACAGCCTAGGGTAGGGGATGAAAAATTGTAAAGAGCTGATGATGAAAATCATGGGTGTGCTGCCATCCAAGATTTTTCTTTTCACCTTGTAATTCTAAAAGGGAAAAACACCAAAACCTTACGGTTCTGTGTCGTGATGCCTCCAGATTCTTTCCAAATGTATTTACTATAACCCTAGCATGACCACCTGGACCCGCAAGTGTGGTCAGCAGGAGGTCTCTGCAGAGAAGGAAAGTCCTGAGGACCCACCTGTGCTCAGTCACCCTTGGGCCGTGGTTAGGAAGCCAGGTGCTCATTTCCCAACACCCACATGAATGAGCTCTCAGAGACTCTTAGATTTTTACTTTGTTGTTAGAAAGAAAAAGGTGTTCATTGTCATTCTACTAGTGTGAGGGGTTGGAAAGAATATGGACCAAGGATGTGTGCTATCATCAGACCCGAAGGGGGGACCAGTGGGTACACTCACCTTGATGATTTTCTTCAGGACGGTTGGCGTGTGGGTGACCAGAGACCGGCTTTGCTTTGGTGTCTCTCCTCTTTTGAGAGGTGTGTTGGGAGGTAAGTTTTCATCGAATAATTCAGGTCTCAGGCGACCACCAAAGGAGACCCGCCTCCTCTTCAGCGACGGCCCATCCATCTTATCTAGAGGAACGGCTACCGCCGTGGAGAGGGCAAAGGAGAGGAGCACCACAGGTGTGACTTGCTTCCATTTACCACTGGAGACAAACTTACTGTAAATTCACTGAAACCTGGCACCTCACACACCTTTACTCTCTTGTGATGGCGACGAAGGTGATGCTGCTTCCAGAGCTCAGGAAAGATCCAGGACAAACCACTAAATGCCAAGTCCCAACCTGACAGGACAAGGACTTGCTTTAAACATTGGCAAGTCCTGTGCAGACAGAGCTTAATAAAGGGAGTGGCCTGGAGCAGTGGCTCCCACTTTGGAGCAGGGGGATGAAGGGGATGAGGCTTCAGTACTGGCCTGAGAAAGCTTTTCCAAGAGACTCACACTTGGGTCTCAGACCTACCCAGTGAGTAGAACTCGAGCTGGAAACCTCTCCTGGTGATATTGACAGATGGGCAATTCATGCGTCCCAAGCCCCACTATCCATCTTTGTGAACCACTTGTCAACATAAACCCTTGCCTAAGTGAGGCGCCCCGTTTGTAAGACTTGTGGGGACTCCGTGACTGATGTGCGTGGGTGTGCTTTCAGAGCCGCACACCCCTGCCCTGGGGGCTCCCTGCAGAAGCAGAGCTGACAGCAGGGCACAGCATCAGAACACCTGGGGCCCCCCGAGGAGCGTGGGAGGCCCTGGAGCTACCACGCTTGCTCCACGGGTCACATCTCTGCCACCCATGGGGTGCCATTAGGTTACTGGTTTCCCCATTTGGAAAAGGAAGATAACAAAACTCCTGTCCCGTTGGCCCTCCTGCTGCCAGAATAGAGGACGGGAAATGAGTGTCTGAAAGGCACGTAAAAGAACACCTGGCATGTAAACCCATGGGGATGGGGCAGGTGTGTTCTAAGAGCCACCCCACACGAAAAGGTTTCCAAGGGATGTCCACTGACTTATTCTAGAGGATCAAACTCATAGGATAAAAGAGCTTATAGTTCAGAATTAAACTCCTGTGAAAAGCAATTATGCTTATGCTTATTCTCCTTTGTTTTGTGGTAGACAGAAGAATCAAACATGCTTTTGGACCCCACCTTATCTCCCTAGACCCCCTGCTAGTTCTTCCCTAACAACCAGCACTTCTGGTTGGTTGGTTATCTGGGTCTTCACGCAAATCTATGAGTAGATGATGAATATGTGCCTTTATGTGCCTCACAGACCTACTCATTCGTGAATGAGGGAAGGTCCCACTAATTCATACCTAGACATAAGGTAGGTGTAAACTTGGCGGGGGGGGGAGGAATAAATTTACAGTTAAATAAACTTACTCGTGGAATCGCCAAAGCTGCTGCCATCAGCTGAGCTAAGACCGGGTAACCCAGGGCACACCGGGTCAGCTGCCACGCCCAGCTTCTCAGGCTTGTTGAGAAAATCGCTTTGAATCTTCCTTTCAACTTGAGGGACCAATGGAGCTGAAACTGTCTGATGCAGAATCTCTGTTTCTGTTGTCACATCGTCAACGTTTGTAGGATTCCTCTTCCTCTTTCTGGGGCAAAGTTTTTCTGGTGTATTTCCAAAACTCTCAACTTCAATGGGCGTTTGAATACTAGGTAAGAACTTCCGAGGAGGAAACGTTTTAATATCTGCCCTGGAGCCTTCACTTTGATCTAGGTTCAGGGATGCACCACCATTGACAACACTCAGGTCTTCACTCCGCCCACTCCGTGAGGGACTTTGTTGTGAATATCGTTTGGGGGTCGTGGTTTGCAGCGTCTCTATCTCTGTGCAGAGGCTGCTGGGACTCCTGGTCTCCTTGGGCGTCTGAAATGGCTCATCACTCCTCTTTCC